TGTTTGTACTTTTCATGCTCGTACTTTTCATGTTTGTACTTTTCATGTTTGTACTTTTCATGCTCATACTTTTCATGTTTGTACTTTTCATGCTTGTACTTTTCATGTTTGTACTTTTCATGTTTGTACTTTTCATGCTCATACTTTTCATGTTTGTACTTTTCATGTTTGTACTTTTCATCTTCAGACTTTTCAGTTGGCCAACATTTCTAAAAATCCTTTTTAATTGGTCTTAAGTAATATTCTAATTTTCTGAGATACTGAATTTGGGGTTTTCATTAGTTGTCAGTTATAATCATCAACATTAAAAGAAATAAACATTTGAAATATATCAGTCTGTGTGTAATGAAAGAATATAATCTACAAGTTTCGCTTTCTGAATGGAATTACTGAAATAAATCAACTTTTTCATGATGTTCTAATTTTATGAGCAGCACCTGTAAAGAATCGTTCATTTTTTCTTATCACTTCTCAGCCTCGCAGTGGACACGAGACGCTTGATATTATAAATGTCAAATCATTAAAAGCTGCTCCTATCTTACGGCGGTGGCTTGAACCGCAATGTATTATGGTCTGTTTCCACCCAGACCAGCTTACTAATGTGTGTTAGTTAATTCATTCAACCTTTATTTCTACAGGTTAGTCTCACTGAGCCTCGGGGACTCATTTACAACAGAGACCTGATTTTAACAAAGAGTGGTGACAACAGTGGGCAATCATAAAAGGATGCGTACAAATTGAGAAGAACAAGTGAAAGAAAACGGTAGAGATAGTTGATTTCAAACATGCATACAAAATACATTAAAATCATACAACTGTAAAACAGTAGACACGTACAAAAATATAAAGGAGTTATAAAACATGAACGTAATTAGGAGGTCCTTGAACTTGGACAGTTCTTGTTCCTTAGGGGAAAAATACACCACCTTCTTAAAAATACTTTTTAAAATATTTTTTCTACAATAAACTAGTCAATCTTTTGGAGCTGTCTCAGTCTGAAATAAAAAAATATTAAATATAAATTAATTAATTTAAATTTTGATCAGTCTTTTTAATTGTTATATATATATATATATATATATATATATATAAATTACTAACACACAATATAAAAAGCACAAAAAAACAAACAAAACCATCCTACCCCTCCCATACCGGATCGGCTAAACGGGCACATATATATTTAAACAGGCACTGACACACTTTCAATACAAGCCAGAAATGGCCGCCTAGTGTCCCAACATTTTCCAACAGATCCCTCACAGTGTATTTGATCTTTTCCAAGTGAATATGAAACATAATTCTCTCATCCAGTGTTCATATACCGGGGGATGTGAATCCTTCCATCTGCATAAAATAAGTCTCCTGGCTGGAAGAGAGCCAAAAGCAATCATAGTCTTCTTGCACTTGCTGACGGATGCATCCACAGGGGCTACCCAAAACTATGGAATGAATGGTGATGGGTATACGGTTTTTCCACATATCCCATAGAAAATATCAAAAATAGATTGCCAGTAGGTCCGCTTCTTTGGACAAGTCCAGAATTTGTGAGCATAGCTGGAGTTTTACAAAAGTTACATGCAGGATCCAGGTCGGTTTTAATCTCGGACAGGCACACGAGTCACCAAGGACAATAGAATGTTTGGAGTTTGGAGGTATTTTAAGATCGATACAGGTCCCGATACTAATACGTATCAGAAGCAGGACACCAATAATGAAGTTGTTTTTGTCACAAAACCTCATCAGTTTAACCCAGTGTGTTTTATGTCCACTCTTAAGTGTTAATTGTCTTCTTTGTGGAAGTGATATGTTTAAATGTGAACTCTCTGCTCTGTGTGCAGGACCACACTTAAATCCCAGTGTAATCCATAATTTTTATGACAACCTTGGATTCCTTGGTCCTGTCCCACCAAAACCCAAAGGTACTTTATCTGTTGGTAAGTTTAGGAAAGTTACTTTCTCATTTCACCGCACATACTCCACACTTTCGATCAGACACCTTGTGTTGTCAGAAAATGCACCTTATTTCCTTCAGTCTTGTCATACAATGTGAATGGAAACATTTTTTCACAATTTACCAAAATGTCCTGTCCTTAGTCTTTGTATTTAGGCCTTGTGCTTTCAGACATTCTCCATTTTCTCCACCTGTTCCTCAGCCACTTGTTTAGCCTGCCGCTTTAGTGTTCCAGCTGCTCTTTTACAATATTTACTCGGTGGCATCTAAATTGGTTTAAAGCTGTGGTTCTCAAGCATTTCATGCCACACCCCACCTTGGAGGGAGAATCATTTCCAGGCCTCTCTGTGAAATCTAAATCCTCCATTTCATTGGAACAAGTAAACTGACTGGCCATTCACAAACAGAGCGAAACAAAACAAAATGTGAAATTGGAGCAATAAAGTTCAGTCTGTGCTCAGAAACCCAATAAATGAAAATGCATGAACAAGTGAGGGCTGATGTCAGTTATCACAGTATTTCATGTATTCTCGTCATTGATTTTGATTTTATTTTAGTTTTCTGCCCACATTATTCAAATTTCTTTTTTAATAACTTGAGCCTTTGCTAACATTACTGAGGTGTGATGTTTTAATACATTACATTTTTAAACTTCATCCTGTCAGCCGACAGTTCTCTGATACAAACAGGTATTTTGTGGTCTCCTCTTCACTCTCATTCTAACTACAACGTTTCTCGTCTGTCTTGATACGAATCAACTTTTTTCTTTCCACATGGACACACAGAGCCAAACTATACCATTTCAAGCTGCGTATCATCAGCTAGTTTAAGAGCCGAACATCCCACTCACATTTGTCCACCTCAGTCGTTTGACATGGACAAATAGCAGGGACAGTTGGTCCCTAATTTAAGGTGTTTTCTCTTCCAGATGACACATTTTTCCTCCAATAAAGAGACATAAACACTTTGTCATCACTCCCATCCTGAACATGCACTGTTATAAAATTAAGGAGTGGACCCACTCTACACCATGCTGTCCATCTGTCTAGTCACCATAGAAACACAAAAATGAGTCAAGAGTTGTAATGTGTAAACATAAACTCTGCCTACGGCATTTAGGACCAGAAAAAAAGCTAAATAAGAGCTGAAGAGCTTTGGAAAATTCTTATGGACAGAACTAAGCAAGGAGCTCAGTGTTCCTTGTGGGTTACTGGGTCCCCACCCTTGAGCCAGGCCTGGGGGAGGGACTCGTCGGCAAGTGCATGGTGACCGGGTCTCTTCCCATGAGGCCCCGGTCAGGCTCAGCCTGAATGAGCAACATGGTTTTGCGTTCCTGTGGGCCCACCATCTGCAGGAGGGGCCATATGAGTCGAGTGCATGACGCCATGGGCAGTGACCAAAGGCGGGGGCCTTGGTGCTTTGACCCTGGCTTACCAATGTTAGCCCTTAGGACATGGAACGTAACCTCTCTGGTGGGGAAGGAGCCTGAGCTTGTGCGCGAGATTGAAAGATACCGACTAGATATAGTCGGGCGCACATGTGTAATCACAGTGTAACCTGGAGGGGCCTCATTAGAAGGAAAGGCCTCTCTGATCTGAACCGTGGTGGTTGGGAGGTAAAAGAATACTTCTCTGACCTTCTCAATCCCTCCGGCATGTCTTCCATGAAGGAAGCTGAGTTAATGGACTTCAAGGTTGGTCTGTCCATAACCATGACTGAGGTTGCCGAGGTAGTTACAAAGTTTTGCGGCAGTAGAGGTCCAGGTGTGGATGACATTCACTCTGATTCCTTAAGGCTTTGGATGTTATAGGGTCATCTTGGTTGACACTCCTTTGCAACATCATGTGGACATCGGGGGAAGTGCCACTGGATTGGCAGACTGGAGTGGTGGTTCCCCTCTTCAAAAACGTGGGCCAGTGGGTATGCTCCAGTTATAGTGGCATCACTCTCCTTAAATGATATCATTCAGCGGTACTGGAGAAGCGAGTCCTATCATTGGTCAAACCTCAGATCTAGGAGGAACAATGCGGGTTCCATCCTGGCCGTGGAATGCTAGACCAGCTCTTTACCCACACTAGGGTCCTCGAGGGACGTGCTCTCTTAGTATGGGATTGGGGGCCTATTGCTTCGGTTTGTTGGGTCCCTGTACAAGTGGTGCAAGAATTTGGTTTGCATTGCTGGTAGTAACTCGGACCCCTTCAGGATGGGAGTTGGACTCCGCTAGGGCTGCCCATTGTCACGGATTCTGTTCATAACTTTTATGAACAGAATTTCTCAGTGCGGCTAGAATGACGGAGGGAGTCCGGCTCGGTGGCTTCAGGATTCCTTCTCTGATATTTGCGGATGATGTGTTCCTGTTGGAGTCATCGTGCTGTGAGCTTCAGCTCTCACTGGATCGAATCACAGCAGAGCATGAAGTGGCTGGGATAAAAATCATCACCTTCAAATCTGAGGCCATGGTCCTCAGTCAGAAAAGGGTGGATTGCTCTCTTCAGGTTGAGGGCGAGGTTCTGCCTCAAGTGAAGGAGTTCAAGTATCTCAGGGTTTTGTTCACGAGTGAGGGAAGAATAGAGCGTGAGATTGACAGACGGATTGGTGCAGTGTCCGCAGTATTGTGGGCTCTGTGATGTTCCGTTGTGGTGAAGAGGGAGCTGAACTGTGAGGCAAAGCTCTCTTTTTACCGGTCATTCTATGTTCCTACCATCACATAGTGGCTGAAAGAATGAGATGCCATATACAGGCAGTTGAAATGAGTTTCTTCCACAGGGTAGCTGGACTCTCCTTTAGAGATAAGGTGAAAAGTTCAGTTATCTGGGAGAAACTCGGATTAGAACCGCTGCTCCTCCATATTGAGAGAAGCCTGTTGAGGTGGTTCAAGCATGTGATAAGGATGCTTCCTGAGCACCTCCCTTCTGAGGTGCTTTGGGCATGTCCCACTGGGAGGTGACCATGGGGAAGACCCAGGATACTCTGGAGAGACTATGTCTCTCTGCTGGCCTGGGAATGCCTTGGAGTCCTCCCAGTTGAGCTGGAAGAGGTGGCCGTCGAAAGAGATGTCTGGGCCTTCCTGCTCAAGATGCTGCCCCTACAACCCGATTTCGGAACAAGCAGATGATAAGGCAGGGAGGGAGGGAGGGAGGAGCTGTAATGCACCCTGTTTGGCACCTCCCCAGAGGTTGCACCCGCAGTTTGAGAACCACTGTTTTAAAGTCATAAATGAATTGTAACCCTGTGTATCCTCTTTGTGGTGGCACATTTTAGATTACTGAGCATGCTGTCAGAATGTTTTATTATCTGTTGTGGTACTACACCCTGACCTCCTTGTCGTTGTGCTCCTCAGACCCAGGCAGTAAGGCTGTGAAGCCCAGCGCAGACCAGGAGGAGGATGAGGGAACACAGTGGAGCTGCACAGCCTGCACTTTCCTCAACCACCCAGCCCTCGACCGCTGTGAACAGTGCGAGTTTCCGCGGCGTTTCTGAGCCACGAGGGGAAAGGCCCTCTACTCTACAGATTAGAATAGACCCCACACACACACTTTTTTTTTGTGTGTGTTGAGGTGTATGAAAATTGATCGGGGGTAGTCGGCGTACATCACATGACCTGCTTTTTCCCCCCAGCTGTCTTGGTGTTTTTCCTCTCTAAAGTTTGCAGAATGCTGTCCACTGAAGGCTTGACTGGATGGTGTGTACAGCTTCAGTTTGTCCCCAGAAGTCTGATGATACCTCACTTCAGAGTCTCAGATCAGGTTCCCCTTCTCTGCTCACCAGGGAACATTTTAAGTCCCGGGAATACTTCGCTGCTTCCACTTACAGTATTACCAGCGTGGCCCTGCCAGTGTGACAGCACATGGTCACACACAACACAGGTGCCAGTGTGCCTTTAGCTGATGAATATTTAAAAAAAAGTGATGACCTGGGGATAGAAAGTGTGCTCAGTCACTGAAGGGAAATCTAAAGTACTCACGGACTTGAACGTTTGTTTTGCAGTTTTTAAAGGATGCTAAAAGGTGAACAGCCAGCGTTGCTGCCATTGATATGTGCCTTTTGCTGACCCTTCAGCGCCTCCTTTCTTATACTTTGTGATGACTTTAAAAAATAAAATCAGTTGCATGCTTTGTGTACAGTACATGGAAGCAGAAGCTCTCTGGAGCTTTTTGCTGTACATAATTTTAGAAAACGCTTTAAAATTGTCCTTGTCACTCCGAGTCACTTGTATTTCCTGTAAGTATAGCTTTATAGACTTTTGTCAACTCGTTTTCTTCTTCCTTCAAACAAATAAGCACCATGCTCCTCTTTTTATGCTTTGTACTTGACATCTGTGAGCATTGCAGGAGGAGAGGAGCAGAGCAGGTAAAACCCTCACAGTCATTATGAAGCTACGTCTGCCCGGTCCGTTCATCGCTTGTGTATTTGCTAAGTTTCCTGTGTAAGATCTATTGATGTAAAGAGTAAAAAATGATGGAGGACATTGTTGTTGTATTTTTTAATGGGTTTTGTTTGGGACTGTCTCGGGGTGGGAATGGAGGAGTCGGGTAAAAAAAAAAAATCAAGAAGACCAAGTGCCATCCTGTCTGACTGGAACGATGTTTTGTGGAACATCTTCACCTCAGTGCAAACAAGCAGGTTCAGGATCAAAGTCCAACCCCTGCTGGGTCAAATGGATGGATGGACGGACGGACGGACGGATGGATGGATGGATGGAATGAATGGATGGATGGATGGATGGAATGATTGAATGGATGGATGGATGGAATGAATGGATGGATGGAATGAATGGATGGATGGATGGATGGACGGACGGATGGATGGATGGAATGAATTGTTGGACAGACGGATGGATGGACAGATGGATAGACAGACAGATGGATGGACAGACAGATGGATAGACGGACAGATGGATGGATGAACAGACGGATGAACAGATGGATGGATGTGCCTCTCATTGGTCTGCTTCCAGCCTGTTGTGAACAGCATCCCACGGACTCTCAAGATATTTGCAGGTTTTTCCTTGTGTGAGTCAGAGAGGCTTAAGATGTTGTGCTTTGAGTTTAGAGCACGTTTGCTCTGAAAAATGTTAGTTAGTTGCAGTCATTACAGCTTGTTGATCCATTATAGACCAAGGAGTGACAGAAAACACCCGAGGGCAGTATTCACGTCTAGAAACCACATGGATGATGAAGAGCGGTCATGGTAAAGCCCTCGGTCATGCCTGGGTTTCAGACTGAAGTGAACTCGCGGTACAGAGGGGGACAGTTGTAGTCACTCCAGTCAAACCCGAGAGTGACTTGTGTTGGCGCTCACTATATGCAGGGCATGGTCATCCATTCTCTCTCTGCTTCTTCCTTTTCAGGTCGCGGGGGTCACTGGGGCCCATGTCCAGCCATTACTGTGCGAGAGACGGGGACACCATGGACATGTCTCCAGTCCATCACAGGGACACTTGTGCCCCTTTTCCATTTGTACCTTTAGGACCGGTACAGCACGGTTCTACTCGGCTCAGTACGATACATGTGTTTCCATTATGCTTTCAGTACTGGTTCCAGTGGGCAGGGTTCAAATTGATGTCACGCGCCTCTCACCAGCTGGTGTGGTGGGATGATGAATCAGGTTTCAGTACAGGATGAGAATTTTATTTTGAAGTTTCTGGTAAATTAAAAGAATACAGATTATTAAAATTATCAAATTAAATATCTCTCTCTATATATATATATATACATATATATATATATGTATATATATGTATATATATACATATTTTGTTTTTTGTTGTTACACAACAGAATGCTTTTAAAACTCTTGTCCACCCTCCGTGCGTCAGACACATCTGCTGTGATCAGGGTCCGGCCTTCATGAGCACACAAGGCCGGGGTCCGGGCAAGGCCTTCTGTGATTCAGCAGCTTGTATGGTCCTCTGCGGAGCTCGGAGCCTGCAGAGCACGCAAGGCCGGGGTCCAGAGCCCCGAGTCGGCATTAGACCAAGGTGTTGTCATTATTGGTTTTAAAACAATTCGGGGGCGGCTGTGGCTCAGTGGTTAGAGCAGTCGTCCTCCAATGCGAGAGTTGGGGGTTTGAATCCACCAGCAGTCACATGCTGAAGTGTCCCTGGGCAAGACACTGAACCCCTCGTTGCCTCTGATGTGTGTCTCATCAGTGTATGAATGTGATAAAGCTCTGATTATTCTCTTTAGAATGATTTGTTCAATTATCTTTGTACAGATCTAGTATAGAGCTGTATGAATGGGTACATGAGGCACAGATTGTAGTGTAACGCGTTTTGAGTACGTTGAAATAAGATAGAAAGGTGCTATATAAGTACAGTCCATTTACCATTTAAAATCTTTAAAATAGGTCCAGCCGCTGTTCCGAGTTCCAAGAAATTTCAAATGGCGGATCTGTGTTTTGAAAAGTTTCTGAAAGATCCAGTGACTCCGCCCCCTCACCAATCGGTGACCGACAGTGTTTTTGACGTCATGTTTTGGTACGTGCTCGGCTCGGTTGGAACCACAGAGCCATGGGTTCTGAAAAGAGGGACCGGTTCTACGTACCGTTACTAATGGAAAAGGGGCATTAGAGACAAACAAGACAACCAACCATTCACTGTCTCTCACACCCAGGGACAGTTTAGAGTTACCATCAGTCTAACATGCATGTTTTTGATCTGTAGAAGGAAACTGGAGTACCTGGAGGAAACCCACGCAGCACGGAGAGAACATGCAAACTCCACCGAGGATGCCCCCCACCTCCAGTAGGGATTTGATCTGACGACCTCCTCGCTACCAGAAGGACTACCAACTGTGCCACCATCAAACAGAAATACCTCCATACCTGGAAATTTGACTGACTCGTGTCATATGTTGATGTCATAACATCTAGGCTTGATTACTGCAATTCACTTCTGTTTGGAATCAGTCAGTCCTCCATTGCTCGTCTACAACTGGTCCAAAATGCTGCAGCCCGATTTTTAACTGGTACAGGCTATAGAGAGCACATCACGCCAGTTTTGGCCTCCCTGCACTGGCTACCCATTCACCTTCAGATCCATTTCAAAATTCTCATGTATGTTTTTAAATCACTGAACAGTTCTGCCCCATCCTATCTCACTGATCTTCTGCAGCCATATGTCCCACCGCGCTCTCTGAGGTCAGCAGACCAGATGCTTCTCTCAGTCCCAGAAACCCGTCGTAAGCTCAGAGGTGACAGGGCTTTCTCTGTTGCAGGTCCACGACTGTGGAATGAGTTGCCACTGAGTGTCCGGCAGGCTCCCACACTCTCAGTCTTTAAGTCTCGCTTGAAGACCCACTTCTATTCGCTTGCCTTTAACACGGTGTGATTTGTTTTGGTCCGGTCTGTTCTCTACTCTGTTGGCCATTTTAGTTAGCTCCTGCTGCTATTTGTATCTGTATTTCTATTTTATGTTTTCCTGTTCGCTGTGCATGTTTGTGTTCTTTTGTACAGCACTTTGGTTGGCCTTGTTGCTGTTTTAAGTGCTATATAAATAAATTGGTATGGTATGGTATATGTTTGTTGAAATCTGTTCATAAGATATTTTGCTAATGCTAAACCTTTAAGCAAACGTCACATTGTGCTGGGACTGTCTCTTAGCTAGTCCTACATCAAATTTAGCTCGGGGTGTTTAAAATGTTCTCGAGTGTTGGAGGTGAGAACAGCGTGAGAAAGAAGTTGACGTTAAAAGAATGTGCGCGGCCCAGAATACAGGGTTCCCTTTCTTACACATGAAAACAGGCTGTGGTTTTCAAATTTGCTCAGAAACATCTCGTTGGTCACCTGCTCTCACTGAGACAGCAACAAAGCATTTGCCTATTTTATCACCAGTTTGAGCTACCGTCATGTTGACAGTAGTCACAGCCCAGTGAGATACCACCTGTCAGGTCGACTGGTTTCTGGTTGAAATCCTTTCTCTGTAATGTGTTGCTCTGATTTGAGCCCCCACCCCATGAAGAACACACAGCTGTCCACTTTGATGTTTTGGTTTTTTTCTCTGTCCTCCGGTGAAACCAGACGTGTCCCCCCCCCCCCCCACACACACACACACACACACACACACTTCCTTCCCTGATTGAACTCTTTCGTCCTGTGAACGCTTAAAGAGCCTCTTTTTACTTCTTAATTCTAAGGATCAGCTGGTCTCTCAACAAAATTGATCAACTTCTCCTGACACGAGTCAGGGTAAGGAGGACCCTCTTACCTCGACGGAAACAAATTGGATTCATGGTGACACCTGTTTTTTTTTTGCTGTTTAGCTGGTGCATTCTGAATTGTCTATAAATTTGTGTGGAGGTGTTGAAGCTCGGCAGCACTCAGACTAAATTATGTGGAGCTGCATCAGAGCAGCTGTTATCAGGACTGTGAACTTTCTAGCAGCATGCATGAATGGTGGGAATAATCTTGGAGAAGCTGTGAACTCGACTTTAAGGAATCAATTCGGCTGTTTTGGAGTTTCCATCAGAGAATATGTACCAGCGAGACTTTAAAAGGCAGAAACAACAATTCACGAGTTCTGCCTGACCCAAACTGTGGCCTTGATGCCGGACTTATCTCAACTCCTCCTGTTCTGAAAACAACAAAGATGCTTTGACTGTTTCCTCACCCCTCCCTTCCCAAAGGCCGTGGACATGTAACAGAACCTCAACTGAGCTGAAGATGAACGTCACCTCTTATCTGGACAATGTCTGAGGGGGGGCTCTGGACTATGCTACGACTTTCCCTTAAAAATTCAATGTCTTCTCCACCTATTCTGTATGTTCATGTGTCACGTCTGTTTATGTTGCTTTGCTGTGGTAGGTTTTTTTGATGCCTCAAATTGTGCCCTGTCTAGGACACAGTGTGAGAGATCTTTTTTTTTAGACCGTCTCCTCATGTTTTCTTCTCTTTTCTCATCTAAGCAAAATATTATTCTGGATAAGAATAAGAGGGCCGCGCTTTCTATAGTTGCAGCTTCGTGCACTCCGCCCATCTTTCAAACGACTGTACGTACATGTTCTTGTTGTATCTTGGTGCAATGACAATAAAGTTTATTCTGATTCTGACTCAGTTCCTCCAAAACTTGTATCTGCAAGGAAGCATCTAAAGTTTACTTAATGGCATAAAGACACTTTAGCTGTGGAGTAGTCCCTATTTTGTTCTTAAACCATTTTCAACCATTGCCTTACATTATTGCCTTTGAACTTATATTGACAATCACTCAAGTGTCATTTTTAAACCAAATTCTTAGTTTTATGTAAACCAATTTAGAAGAAGATCAGTTAATGCCTTGTATGCACCTACTTCATCCTTCCTTCCCCCCCCCCCCCTCCAAAGAAATGCAACATAATTTCATCTTTATCTGCACCCTGGTGTTCTATTGAAAATGAGAGAAAGACTCATTTATATATCTAAAGTATTGTTGATTTCAGCTGGGAAACTGTTGTAACAGATAATTATTTGTAAAAATAAAACGAACACTCTTGAATGATGATGGTGTGCCTTCGATGTGACAGTACCTGCCACTAG